CCCGCGCATCGCGCGGGTTGTCCCTCCCTAGTGTGTGTGTGTGTATATATATATATATATATATCGAAGAGAAGTCGTTTGTGACTAAGGGTCCGTTTGGCAGGGAGTAAAATATTTTCTTCGGAAAAAGTCTTCCACTTAAAATCTTTGATAGGAAAATAGTTTCTTTTCTCTATTATTTTCTAGTGTTTGGATACTTATTTACAAAAACACCCAAGCCCGTCGTAATGATTGAGCCCATGTTACTGTGATTAACTTATTCCTCTTTTAGCATCCTTGTCAGCTTTTCTTCTATCATCATCGTCATCTATTTTCCCACATTTACATATGTTGAAGAAACCAAAATCACGCATAGACATACTGATTATCATCACCAGCCTTCACCCAAATATAGACAACTTGAACAGTCCTTTGGATCTAGATTAGTTAATCTCCAGAGATTTGAGTTTGTCAAAATTTTTTGCCTTAGCATATATCTGTGTGTGCCAGAGACAAATAGAGGACAACGAAGAAGGTGCATGCGCAGGAGGAGGAGGAGGAAGCGTGGCGACGTGATCACTTGACGTCGCTGTTTCCATTTCTTTAAGATAGGGAAAATAACTTCAGTCTCTTTTTTGCGGAAGTTATTTTATGCCATCGAGCGTAAAATCTTTTCCAAAAGATAATATTTTCCTATGTTATAATTAAACCAAACACTTGAAAATTAGGAAACATTTTCCAGAAAATGTTTTCAGTCCTAACAAACAAACCCTAAATTAATAAGAAATTACATAAGTAAATTGATTTAAAACCAATTAAATGGTTATGATTGACCACCCGCAGGACATATAAAATCTCTAATTAAGGGGAAGGGTTGTTGTAATTTTGTTTCATGCTTTCTCAATAGGAGGTAGAATTTGTTCCTTGGGATAATTGTCACGTAAGAATTTGGCATGGGAATAAATAAGACATCTTGATGGCTGCAAATAGTGAGTGTATGGCAGCGGACAATTCTTGTTAGAACTGTGCTTAAATAGGAGAAAGATAACAAGCACAAAAGCAAAGAAGAAAACAAGAAAGGGCTTCGAATCTTCTGTCCCTAAATTAGTCTCTATCCCGTCTGTCTTTTCTTTGTACAGCTGTCACGTGTCTCTAATTTTTTGATAACTCAAATTCAAACAAACTGATAATAATCAATTAACAAGTTTACTCAAATCCAATTAAACCAATTCTTCTTTGTGTAGTAGTATTTTTTTTATTAGGGTATTATATTTTGTCCTGCCCAAATGCTTAACCAGAATAATCATATAATCATAGGAAATCATACATATGATGATAGGAAATCAAATTTTGGAATGAACTTGAAAATAACTAGATATAGTCTTCATATTTTGCTGTTTGTTTTCTGTTGTAAAAGTGTGAAATTTCAGGTTGTTTCTTGATATAATGCAAATTTGATGTCCTTTCTGTGGTTTTGAAATTTCTAAGGAGTAGGTTATTCAAATCACTTAGAACTTTACCAATAAGTTTAGAATAGATAGCTAGACATTATCTTAGGCCTTACAAAAAAATAAAAATAAATACAAAGGACTTACTTGGAGAAAGACATCTTTTATTTAGCAGGACTCTGGCATCAATGGTGTTTTAGGAAACTAGAGAAATAAAAAAGAAAAAAAAAGGAACCTCAATTATAAGTGAGAATATATTAGGAAAAAAGAGATACACGATTTTATTATATAGTAACATATGTATATCTATATGTATTTTAAACAATTTGTGTACTTTTTGTATTATGATCTACACAGTTAGAAGCTAGAGTAGAATATGATGCTATTTCTGTAACCTGCACCATAGATCACCAGCAAAAACAACTAGCAGCAAGAATGACGTGATTATTGATTTTCATAATCATTTCTTCATGGAAAATCTTTTAAATAGCATCAAACTAGAGTCCATACATTAAAATTCAAAGTGAAGAGAAAATGGGAACTCCTGGGAGAGAATATCCAGCATCCACAATGAAATGATTGCCCGATACATAGCTTGAGGAGTCATGAATTAAGAACCGAACAAGTGATGTCAAAGCTGGGTCTAATGTGCCAAAGGTTCTTAATGGAACTGTTCTCTCTGCCACATTATTAATCCAGGGCTTTTTTACAAGCCCTTCGGTCAATTCAGAACTGAAAAGTCCCGGGCTTATTGAGTTCACCCTGATTTTGTACTCTCCCAATTCCAAGGCCATTATCTGTAATTTCGTTGTATCACCATTAAATATATAAGTGATAAGAAGCGGGGAAAAAAATGGCGACTTGAAGAATGAAGAGATAGAAAATGGACATGATATTGGTATATATCCTCAAATTTATTAGTGGTAAATCGTTAGAATCTTTTAATCATATGAAAGATAGATATACCCCTATATTTCGTTCCAATCAAATTATAGGAGTATTTAGGACGGTTGGAAGTGTATTTATGTATTTTCACATGATTAAAAATACCAAGGGGAATTCCATCAACAGATAGGGAATTCCAATAATAACTAAAACAAACCGGCCCTGAAAGAAAAATAAAAACTTTTAAATAAAGAAAGACATTCTTTTGGCAACGGATCTTCTATCCTATATTCTACATTACTCTCTGTTCCACTTTTTATTATATTGATATTTCTCTTTTATAAAAAATCATATTTTAGTTCTTTTTTGTTTCCTTAAGATCCAATAACTATTAATTGAGTAAAAAATAAATACAAAAATTTCAAAAGAGTAATATATAATAGAAAATTAAAAAAATACAGTAGAAAATTCATAAAAAATCCTCATTTTTTATTCATTTGATTTTTTGAGTTTGTTTAATTTTGTGTATTACCTAGTTAATAGTTACTGAATTTAAGGAAATAAAAAAGAATTAAAATATAATGTTTATAAAGGAGAAATAACAATAGAATAAAAAGTATGACAGAGAATGATATAAAAAGTAGGACAGAAGATCAGTTGCGCATTCTTTTAGTCAAAAGAGTTCGAATTATGACAAAGTGAAATGATAGACTTAAAGCTGCAAACCCCAATTGTATCGGGGATGCAAACATCCGAAAGCCATATTGGAGCTGAACAAAAAAGTGGTTGTTAGCTACAAATGCAAAATGATACGTGTAACGTGTTCAACACAAATTTAAGAGTTAGCATCAACTTGAAAATACTTGTAGTTCTTGAAATCTTACCTCTACTCAGTGACAATAATACAATCACATGTACTGATAATGATATAAGTGTCATATAGTACCTAAGTCGTAAACTATTAAAAAAAAAAAAGAACGACTAGATTATGATTAGAAAACAAGAGTGAATTGATGCCCTATATACCCAAAAATAAGCATGTACACATCTTTTTTATCTTTATCAAACATAAAAAAAAAATAAAATTAAAGAACCAATTGGAACATATGGCAAAAGATGATGATAGTATAGAACAACTACAATTATACATGAAGCAAAACCTCTTCAATCTGCACGTCTTAATAAGACAAAAGTTTTTGGCAACAAAATCAGTTTTTCATGCTTAACTCATTGATGCAATTAATTAAATCATATTAATCATACCCTTGTCATGGAGTCCATGCCGGCTTTTGAAGAACTATAGGCAACAGCACCGCGCAGTTGCGCTCGGTTCAGCCCAGAAACTGATGAAACATTAACAATACAGCCACCTCTGCATGCCTCACGCATATGCCTACCAACATACTTGGACACTAGCCAAGCTCCAGTCAGGTTTGTTCTCACAGTAGAATTCCATTCATTTTCAGTAAGATCCAGAGATGAACTTATGGAACCTGTTATAGACAAGGAAGCATCAAAATTAGAAAGATTACCAGTCTATATGAGGATTTAGAGAACCAGCTACTTAATTAAAACCTGTCTGTTTCTTATTCAACTTAGGTAGAAGAAGATGTGTTCTGCAATTCTGTTAAACTAGTTTTTTGTTTTTTTCTAATAATTAAAAATGCAGTCATTTGATTGATTTAAAAATCTACACTAATAACAGCAGATGCATGCATTAGATGTTCCAAATTGAATGGATCTCTTTCCAATGCATCAGTTACAGCAAATGGAATGGACCTCTTTCTAGACTGAAAAATTTTAAAAAGTAGAACTCTTGAAAGAATAAAGGTCTTAGATTCTAAACCACTTTTTCCTCTCTGTTTATTAAATTTCACCCCTTTCCCGCTAGAAAATTTTTTTTTAAAAAAAAGAGTTGATAACTAGCATAGTTATTAAAACCAACTCATACATCAATTCAGCAGGAGGACTGGGTTGGTAGGTCAGTGACTTGACCGGTGGGTCGCTGGTTGAACCTTTGGGTCACACTATATAATAAAAAATACATATTATAATTAAATAAATATATAAATTATAATATAAGTTTAAAAATTTTTAAATGTTAACAACCCATAACCTATTCAGATTTCATAGTTCATACACACAAGCCATGCCTATGTGTGTTTCTTAGTTCATGAATAATATTAATATTATACACAAATATAAATGATAAATTTAAGTGTCAAAGAAAGAAGAAACTCTAATTTCCAAATCCTTTTTCAATCTTTCTCATCTAATTGTCGAGAAGACGACAATGCCCATAGTGGTATGACCGGTCAAACTAAAAAATTGGGTTAAAAGGTAATTTAAAAAAAAAACTCCAAAATCCGTTGAATTCATCAAAAACCGCCGAGTTTAGCAAGTCACCGATTCGACCGTTAAATTCAAACGGTAATCATCTGCAATTTTGATCCAATTGCTAAACCGGCTCGGTTCCATTACAAGTCCACCGGTTTAACCAATTCAACTATTGGGTTGGGTCGGGTTTAATAACTATGATAACTAGGATAAATTTGACTTAATAGTCGTGTGTCCTTTTTTAGTGATTTTGGAATTTTCTGTTGCATTAGAGATGGCATCACCTTTACCTAGTGACTGTCGTGCATGGCATGGCCATAATTCAAATAGTATATAACATAACTTGCATACCTCTTACACCAGCATTGTTAACCAAAGCATCAATATGTCCAAATGCATTCCAAGCCCTTTGTACCGACGTTTCAATGGTGGAGGCATCAGCTGTGACATCAAGTTCAACCGCCACAGCTCGAGTAGAATTAGGATCCAACTCAACCGGAGATGACGTGCTTGGAGAGGGAAATAGCTGGTTGATTTCGTCACAGAGAGACTTAAGCCGCTCAAGTCAACCGGCCTTGGCGAGGTCTAGGCAAAATTCTTTGCCAAGCCCAGAAGATGCACCTGTGACAAAAACAATTTTGCCATCCAAGTGACTCCATGGTTCAAACTGGACGCGGTCTCCCATTGTTGCTTGATGCTTGTCTTGTTAAATTCCTGGGGGTCCATTATATAGAATGTGTGAACGTAGTTTCTTGGTACTAGCAAGACTTCGACACGTTTCTCATACTTGCAGCACATGCATCATATGTTTGGGTTTTTTTCGTTTCTGAGTCACGTTAGAAATAAGTGTCTGGATTGGGTAAAGATCAGGAATTCAATCACTACTTGACTTGGTATCTTTAGTTAGACATCAATGACAATAGATGCACTCACCACAAGTTTTAAACCACACCTGTGAGAGTAGAAGCGATGGATTGGATGGCACAAGTAGTGTAGGTGAGAGATCCATATTCAAAACTTTTCACTTACGCTTAAAAAAAAAAAATCACCTGTGACTTTGGAGCTGTTGCTGGATAACTATAAGGGATAATTTCAAAAACCTCCCCTGAGGTTTCTGACAGTCTCACTCACCTCCCCTGAATTTTGCAAAATATCAGATACCTCCCCTGAACTTATTGTTGGAGTAACAAGATCAGCCCATGTCAGAAAAATGAGCATTAAAAAAATATTTTAAGGAGTGAGATGATATTTGTGTTCCACATATACCCTTTTTGCTTATCCACAACTTGAGCTAAAGCAAAAGCAAAAAAAAAAAAGTACTAAGTTGAACCAAATAGAGACAAATGCAAATGGCTTCTTCAAGCAATGTTACAATACTATTTATATTTTTTTGTTTTAGCTATAAGACATTTATTTAGCTAATATGATCATTCAATTAATTGAAACATACTTCTGGTGATATAAAAAAATGTATAGTTTTATAATTTGAGTGATTAAAAGTATGAATTTTTATTATTTAAGCCATAAAAAAATATTATTTGAGTGATTAAAAGTATACATTTTTATTATTTAAGTCATAAAAAAATATTATTTGAGTGATTAAAAGTATAAATTTTTACTAGTTAAGTCACAAAAAAAATTTCACTATTTGGTTAATTGAGTGAATGGCAATTGCAGTTAAATAAATAGTGTAACGATCAAATAACCAAATTCTCAATAGTTTAATAACTCTTTTTGTGATTTTCTCTATGGAAAATGAAATGAAGTAGCAAGATACTTCATTTCATTTAGTGCTAGATAATTTAGTTGAGATTTTTTTTAAAAAAAATTAATTCACACTGTAGTTAGTCGAATTTATTCAACAAGCTTCGTTTGAATACCAGAACTTAGGTAGATCTGATTTTCAAAAAATTCAATAACCCAAATTGTGTCGCATCACTTTTATGAGATGATGTAATATATAATTTACGTCATTGAATTTTTGAAAACCAAATTTACCCAAATATAAGTAATGAGTTACACTAGATAATTGTCTTACAAAAAAAAAACATGATCTCCATGACTTCAGTAAAAGGTAACACTAGTGCTCAACTCTTCATTGGTGATTGTACTACGAATAAAAAGTATAAAGTGGAATAGAAGGTATATCATAAGTTATATCAAAAGTTATATCTCTATTACTCATTTAACTAATTCTGTCAAAATAGCTTCAAAATATATCATAAGTGATGAGGGTATATCTGTCAATTCATCATCAATGATATCACAAATAGGGCCCAATAATCTGACAAGGGAGGTATCTGATATTTTGCAAAATTCAGGGGAAGTGAGTGAGACTATCAGAAACCTCCAGGGGAGGTTTCTGAAATTATCCCTAACTATAAAGGAGAAATAGCTCTATCAAAAATAGTTGTTGCAAGCAATGAAGATGATCGAATAATTGAGACATTTTTCCTTATTTCATTTCAATTTCAATAAAAAAAATCATGCTTCTTTTCTTTTATTTAATATGTTTAGGAACATTCAACAATGTGACTTTCTTTCATAAAATTTGTATAGCTTTTTGTTTTCCTTGTTGATAATAATAAAATAAAAATCTTATTTTCTATATTTATTTTATTTTTTTCGTTATTCTAAATCCATTGCCATATCACTTTAGCATAAATTTTTTAACTATATAACTAAAAGGAAAACAGAACCGGAATCATAAAGATTCTTAACCTTAACCAGGAGGAGCCAAAACCAAACACGGAAAGGTAAGACGAGAAATTTACACATAGTACTAGTACGAGAAATTTAGTGGAATTTATGGAACGCTGGTCAATTAGTCACTATATTTGAGAGGCTGATATGGACCAAGGGCTTGATAGCTACTGATAACGTACTCAAAAAGGCAAGACGACACCGTTTGATCATGAAGGTGGACCTAGACCTAAAGGTTGGGAGTTGGGACTTGGATTTTTGCTCCACAGACATTCGCATGTGATGATAATCAACTTACCAAAAGTAGACAGCCTATCACCGCAGATCTAAATAGTGCTTTTACATTGGAGTTTTTGGGAGAAAAAGTTTTCAAAAGCTGCAATGCAATTCAAACAGGTTCTTGCAATTTTTTAGAATTTTTATATTAAAATATACCATAGTGATGTGTTGTATGTAAAATAAGAAATATAATTAAAAAATATTTAAAAGAAATATCTTCAAAATTTTTTTGCCTAACAAGTGGCAATCTAGATGCGAATTTGTGATGTGATGTATATGTGATAAAAAAAGTAATTAAAATGTGTCAAAAGAATATTTAAAAATATTTTGTAAAATATTTGCTATCCAAATGGGATGTAACATGTAACAAATAGATATAATAAGACAATAACATACGAAAAATATTATAAAAATAATCAGACTTAATACATACTATCAACTGTATGATAAATTGACAAAGAATCCCAATTAGCCCAAATATACTATCTGTTTCTAATTATTGAGACAATCAAGTGATAAAATTATCATACTTCTTCTCATCCTCATGACTATCTCGCCATGTATCATTATTTCTAAAACTCCACATGTAATGAAAAACTCGCAACCATCAGAGTCTTCTGGAAGTAGATTCCTTTGTTTCTTTGGAACACATACCACACTACCTAAAAAACATAATTTGAATCTAACAACCATTTGGGATGAAATATCAACCGTTGGAGTTGTGAGAATATCTCCATTGGTTCATGTCTAAAATTGACATTGGGCTCTACCATTTTCATGACCCTTGAATCATTTGTCTAGATTCACCGTCAAGTATCTCTATACTTTTTAGTTTCTCATATTCTACCTTTAATGCTTCTTGTCAAGGAAAAGTCTGAAGTAACGAGCGTTATGGTAACGAAACTGTTTTTACCTGATATAACAGGTAAAAATATTTTTAGCGACCATTTGATTACCTGTTGTACTGGTCATCTAAATAAAATAGTACCTAAAAATATGGTTAGTAAGTTTTACATTAAAAATAGTAAGTTTACTCAAGAAATTAGTAACTTTTATGTCTCAAAAAGTAAATTTGAATAAACATGGAACTTACTTTTTTTTTTGAAATAAATAACTACTCTATATCTGAAACTTACTTTTCGGAGAGTAAGTTTAGTTCAAATAATAGTAAGTTTTTATAGATTAATAGTAAATCTTGTTGATAGAATAGTAAATATGGTTAATCATCAAAACTTACTAGTTTGTGGCATAAATTTACTATATTACTTAAAGAAACTTATATGAAACAAGTATTAGGAAGTTTATTTGAAATAATGCTAAGATTTTTTATTAATAATTGAAGCTTAGTATTATAGTTAGTAATTACTCGTAATGTAAATGTATGATACACAATTGTACGTATCATTTATAAATATTATATGTTTTAAGCATTTTAAATATACTATGAAAACTTGTTTTTTTGCATATGACCTTATAAAATATGTAAGAATAATTTGTCATATTATAAATTTTGAATTATTTTTGAATTTGTGAAAGGTTAGAAAATTTGGATGACAGTAACAACAAATCTTTCGAGTTATATATAGAATTGCACTTATCTATACATCACAATTTCCATATATGGACACCTATGAATATAATAAAATGGTACGCAATTTTCATATATTAATGCCTATGAATTTAATAAAATGGTAAAATCTTAATAAATTTATTTTCTGGGTCACAAGTATAAAAATTAAAGTTGTATTAACGTAGCATAATCTTTGAAAATTATAGTAAAATTACCCATATGTTAAGTTATGTGACTTTCAAACATACGTTGTATCATTTACATTATGGATTTGTATCCATATGTTTTCTATCAAACTCTTTTTTTATTGGCAAATGGTAAGTAAATTATTATAAAAGGTCATTTTATAATAATCATAAGTTTTTATAGATGAATTTTATGTAAACTGTTAAAATTATGAATTCACAAATGACTAAATCTGACTACTTTATGGCATATATTTGTCTAAATGACTAAAAAATTACTGTAATCATGTGCACGTTGATTGTTGAGTTGAAATTTCCTTTATTACTAGTACAAGTTCTTCTAATTAAAGCAAAATAAAATCAAATATCTTTTCCTTTTGTATGCAGTAGTTATGCTTAATAGAAAATTATTAAACCAATTTTACAATACATAATTTCTCCTAAAATTAGTAACATTTTCCATGACCTCTAACCTTGTCAATAATACTAACCACCGACATGTAGATAATCTTAAAAGCAAAAGCCATCAATATGACAAAAAAAAGAACGTTTTCATGCTGAACGAAAAAAATTGCAATTCTATATAGAATCGAAGAAATTCATCATGAATGAAAATGAATTGCAAAGTTATCACATTTCTAATTTCATATGCATCCAGAATTAGTTTAGAAGAACTTTCCTTTTTCACACTAAAGAACCAATCACAGTCTCTACGTCTCTTTTATTTTTTGTTTAACCATTAAATGGGGGGGTCAAAGTTGTTAGTAGTAAAATACTAAATAAATTTAATTCCATTTCAAACTCTAGTTAATTCTATACTAATATTTTACACCACAATCAATTGAACACCAATTTCCTTTTTTTTAAGTAGCTATTATTTATTTTATTACTTAGGTTAAATATTTAGATATAAAATAATAGCAATAAAATGCCCATCCTCGGATCAATGGAACCGCAATGATTGCTAATAAAACTAATATTGCATTGAT